CCTGACCTTCGATCCGATTTCGCCATCTGCCTCGTTTCTGTTCATGCATTTGGTTTAATTTATGACCACTGGTTGCTTTTATGCTTCGTGATTTTGTCTTCCAATCCTGTCGTGATACACATGGCCTAATGAGAACCGTTTTCTCTCTCTCTCGCTGGTGTTGAAAATGATATCAGTCTCTCGCTCTAGACGATGTCTTCGCGTTGTGCAACATCGAATTCACCACGGGATAAATCGATTTGATTTTTGGGGTTCAACAACCAAAACACGCACAGATACTGACACACGATCAATACACCATCGCTGAACCTTTGCAATTTGGTCTTTGTATTGTCGTTACCAAAATGATGTTGAGAGAATTGCAACCTAAAATGATAAAAAATACTATTTATTGGCATTTGTTCTTGAAGTTCATTGGGTGCCGCCGATTGAACACTTTCATAACGCTTGGTGTTGCATATCATTGAGATGTACCACAGAAGGGATGAACATTATAATCACGAGGACCTACCTACTGTTCACTCATGATAACCAGAAACATAAGCCCTGGGACTTGAAAGTGTCGTACCGCGTAAGGCCCCCGATGATATTGGTGTGACTATTGAGCGGGACTATAGCGAAGCTGCTTGTGGTGTAATTACGTTAGGATTTGAATATACTATTTATAGCCTCATGTGAACCTGAGAAATATCTCTACTCTCACAGGCAGTTGGATAGTATGATACGGTGTTGGTTTAAACAGACGTCCCGTTTCCCGACCCCATCACCGTTTCTGTAAGTTTAATCTCAACCGGAGGTTTATTCGCGAAAAAATAACCATTGTTGACTGTGGTTATGGTCATTTCATTTGTCCCGGGTTCTACTGTGCATTCTTCCCATCCAGCTTCTTTCCCTAACAGTCAAGAACCACTATTGCTTTTTCAGCATATCCTGCTAATTGATNATTCTCTCCCCCCCCCCGATTTCGGATCTCTTTTTTCGCCTTTTCCAATCAGATTTCATGGAATTGCAAACCAACATGCAACAATTCTCACAGGAAGTGAAAAAACACAACCTACCCTATCGAGACTATCGGACATTTTGTCTGTTCTCACTATTTCCGGAGTATCATTGTGAACTCATGGTCCCGGTCAATCCACACGCTTGTGGTTTTGCCCCTCGCAGCGTCACCACACAGTCCACACCCGATTTGCGTACGGCGCACACAGGAGCCGGTGATTTCGGACAACCGGTTCCATCACATCCCCTCCTATCCCCATTCATGGTGAGCGTTTTGGACACTTGTTCCTCGTTCTAGATTGGCGAGGATTTGAAGGGTGTTGTAAATGTTTATCGAAAACACGACCATTCCCCATCGTTGTCACTTAGAAACCCCAATAGGGTTGTTTTCTGCAGATCCCCAATCGAGATCGGCATAGCTGAGTTAACTATGCCAAGTTGTCATGCCCTTGGACACAGCTCGTGTTTTGAACCCTCGTGACATTCTTCCTCCGCAACACTTTACACCTAGGAAATCGAGGTACTGTCATCGGTTATGAGTCGCGGCCATTTCAATCTGTGAGAAACAAGCAGTAGTCTAATGGCATGTTTATTCACACCTACCAAACAAAAATGCCTTTTGAACCAATACTTCAATTTGAACGCCTTAGACAAATACGTTGCCAAATGACTAAGCACCCAATATGATTTGGTGCTGTTTGCCCTTTGCCTTTGGAGATACCAAGTCACTAAGCAATATTGTTTAATCCCTCAAAAATCGTCAGCTCGAATGATTTATTCCGGTCGCGTTCATCACACAACTGGTTTACTCTAATAATCATTTTTTTCAGCGGTTAACCAAAAGATAGATATATACCACAGACCACAGGTTTTTCGAACAGAACAAGGTGAAACCCCACTAGATCCAGTACGGCATTCTCTCTGTATTAGGACTCTCTTTCGTTTGACGCACCCTCTGTGCACTGCTGGTCCTTGTGATCATCTGATCGTACTACAACAATCTTATGGCGTTATGTCTCGACCATAGTTTTCGCGTCGGTCGCATTACACGCGCTTCAGTTTAAGTTTGTTCAACCGTTTACCGTGCACTTTGGTCCTCGTTACTTATCCCTTCTTGCCGCCATCTCCCCNCCACCCATACACACACACACACACACACACACACACACACACACACACACACACACACACACACACCAAACCCAGGTCCCCGTCGAATCGCACGATGTTGCCTCACGCGGTATCTCACTGTTCAACGAGTTGCTGTGCAATCGTCAATTCTTGTGCTTGTGTATTCGTGTTTTGGAAGAGGATGAGCATACCACCGCACGTGACAAATCACGAATCGCCTCTCTGCTGTGCGCAGCGTTGCAGCCAAAAATGGTCTATCTGACTCGGTACGTTTTTGCTTTTCTGTCCGGAGTCATGAAAAATTGCCCGATATCATCAGAGATTTGTTTCCGGGGGCGCGATCGGACCATTCAATCCCGATCCGAATTCCGATATGTAAAATACTTACCTCGGGAGTTGTATCACATATTTCTCTTCTCATTCTGTTCCGAATGTCAGACGGGCTTTCGCGTAGGTTTTGACAGTAGTCATTGCTCTTACACTATAGTGACAGTATCGTGTCTGTGCGAGATTTCACAGTCTCACCCTAGTGATCGTTAC